AGACCAGGTTCCAGGTCCCAAAATGTCTCATAGTTGTCCTTCATGACTCGAGATGTGTTTAAAATGACTCAGAATTCTCCAAAATGACTCTAAATTATCCAAAAATTACACAAAATGATTCAAAATTGTCCAAAAACTAAGAGAAAATGAACCCAAATTGGTCCAAAACTGACTTAAAATTGTCCTAAACTACTACAACTACAAAAAGTTGTTTAAAATTACAAAAAAAAAATTAAACAAAAGGCCCAAAATGACTCCAAATTGTCCAAATAAACAATCATGAATCATCACAGGCCACTGAAACAGAAACAAAAGGATAAAATGTCCAACCAGGCTGGTGCTGATCCAGAATGTTCTGGTCAGTGTCTGTCTATGTTTGACCCGTCAGCGGTGAGCTCACCTTTCTCCACGGCCGTGAGGTAGGCCCGCTCCTCGGCCGACAGCTCCACCTCGGCTCGCACGATCTGCAGCGGGATGCGGTCGCGGTACGGCGAGTACGTCGCCTGGAACACAGACAGCAACAAGCGCATGAAGCAAACCGTCTCCGCCCGGCGTCCTGCAGCCGGCGGCGAGATCTCCGGTTCACCGAGCAGCTCAACGAATTCAGACGGGAGCAGACCTCCGTCCTGAACGCAGCAAGTCCACCGGAATAAATGGGAGCTCATTGAAACAGCTGCTTCCCGCCTTCACGATGAAAACATCTGGGGGGCCTGAAGTTGGTTCAGGAGATCGTTCAACACGCAGAACGAGGCTCACACATAAAGCTGAACTGCTAACACATTATAAAAGAGACAGTCAACATGTTCTATGTCAAAGGAAGCAGGTTGAAAAACGCAACAGTCTTCACCAGTTAAAGCTGACGTAAGGAGCTCACGGACAAGAAACCAAACAGACAAACCAGAGGACAGTGGAGGAGCTCCAGAGACACACTGAGGATGTGAAATCAAACAGCTGAGGACTGAACTACGGAGCGACTGAACCGAGCCTCCTGTGAGTGAACCGGATCAACAGCACCAGCAGCTGCACACCAGAGCTCTGAAACTTTAAACTTCCTTCATTTAAACGTAGAACAAAGGAGACGTGAACAAAGTTAAATCAGTGTCTCTGAATGTCTCCACAAACACCAACAGACTGATGGTTCTGGGCAGCCAGTCAGGAGCAAACACTGAAACCCAGTTTAGCTTCATCGGCTGAACGTTCTCACGGCAACGTGATGCATCCACTTATCCTGCTGTAACTGCTCGGCTTCGCTCAGTGGGATTAAAAATGTACAGATCCACAGGTTTGTAGGTTAAAACCCGGCCTGAGAATCTATTTCTTACAGCTGATTTAAATCCCAAACTCTGAGAAGAGCTGTGCAGCATCCGTTACCATGGTGATCTGACTGTGCAGCATCCGTCACCATGGTGATCTGACTGTGCCGCATCCGTCACCATGGTGATCTGACTGTGCAGCATCCGTTACCATGGTGATCCGACTGTGCAGCATCCGTCACCATGGTGATCTGACTGTGCAGCATCCGTCACCATGGTGATCTGACTGTGCAGCATCCGTCACCATGGTGATCTGACTGTGCAGCATCCGTCACCATGGTGATCTGACTGTGCAGCATCCGTCACCATGGTGATCCGGCTGTGCAGCATCCGTTACCATGGTGATCTGACTGTGCAGCATCCGTCACCATGGTGATCCGGCCGTGCAGCATCCGTCACCATGGTGATCCGGCCGTGCAGCATCCGTCACCATGGTGATCCGGCTGTGCAGCATCGGTTACCATGGTGATCCGGCTGTGCAGCGTCGGTTACCATGGTGATCCGGCAGGTTTCTGACATTCCAAACTCTGACTTTAGGCTCAACAGATCCCACCAACCCTCTGATCTAACTCGGTAGTTCAGCCCTTCAGAGACACAGGAAACAGAAAACACACACAGGAGGGAACCAATCAAACAAAAGGATCCATCCACCGATACGTGGAGCAGAGGATCCCGGCCTGGAGACGCTCAGTCAGACCGTCAGACCAACATCAGCCTCCTCAGATCCACACAGCTCAGCCCGGACACATCTGAGCACAGATTTCATTCTTTCTGTTTGTTTGGGGTTCAAACGGGCTTAGAGGCTAATAACTGGACCGCTGCACCGCAAACAGGAAGTCCTGCCTCCAGCCAATGACAGCAGCTGCTGGTGTTGTAACACTGAGCTGCTGACAGTCAGAAGATTCACATCTGAGAGTCTGTCATTGTTCCTGTTCAACATTTAACTGTAAAATTATACTTAAAAAAATATATGTACTTGAAGAAGCAAATTACAGAATTGTTTTACAGACATTTGCTGTCATTTGAAAGAAAAAAAAAAAGTATATTAAGGAGTGGAAAATGTTTAAATATATAGAGTTATTTACATTTTTTTCCTCTTTTGATAAGTTACAGATAATATCTTGTGAAACTACAGAACTAAGTATAAATATATCATAGCATAAGGTTAAATAATGTCTGGAAATCTGTGTCACTGTTAAATTACTCTGTTTTCTTTCGTTTAAACGTATTTCTACTTGCTGATGGTGACGTCAACATGAAGCTCCATGTGTGATAAACTCGGGGGTTATTCTCAGTGCTGGGGGATAAATTCAGGCTTGTTTTCGTATTTTATTTGCAATCGTGAATCTTAGCGAGCAGCAGCAGCGAGAGTTTCAGGCTTCAGAGAGCAAAGAGAACATTTGTAACAAGTCGTCACATCTGGCTTTTAGAATCAACAAGCTGCTGGACTCACCTTCTTGTAGTAAAGCTGTGTCATGGGATTCATGGTGAGGCTGGAACAGAAGAGAAGAGAGACGAGAGTTAGAACCACGAGGAAGCACATGAAGACGTTTGTCAGCATGAGGACGAGGAGACGCTCAACATCTGGAACATCTGGAACATCTGCACCACAACTACATCCACACAGAACATCTTTATCGTTTAAAGTGGTGATAAAATAAGATGTTTAGTGAATTAAATCAAACGGAGCTCAAACACTGAGTTCATTCGTTGGGAAAGTGACGATGTAGAAGTTTTTTTTAAAATTAAAAATCACAAATGACGTGTGAGGACGCAGGACTTTGACCTGAACCAGATTTTTTTCAGACTTTGATGAAAGCAGCCTGAACGTCTGCGTCGTTAACCGCCGCCGGCAGCAGCAGCACCGAGGTGACAGAACCCTCCACCCTGAGAGCCGACGGCCGATTGGAGGCTCCACATACGATCAGCACAATTAGTGTCTGCAGCGGCGTTAACACACGAAGTCCTGGTGACGAGCTCGAGCTCCTCGTTTGCACATTGATGTCGGTGCAGGTCTTAGCCGTACTGACTTGTGGCGCCGTGATAGGCCCACATTGGTCCGTTGTGCTGCTGAGCGGTGAAGCAGCTTTGTGGCTGAACAGCTGATCAGTGGAGCTGCTGAAGCTGCCGGTTTGGTCACCAACAGCTGCTCGGGTCCAGCTGGTCTCTCAGCGGGACCGGGGAGCTGAGCCGAAGACCAGCTCCGACCGCGTCTGGATCTCAGAGCATTTCCTAAACACGTCTCAGCAAAGCTTTTATCGCTCATCGCTCCTCTTCAGTCTCTCAACACGCCAAACGGTACCAGACTGGACCCGATGCAGCCCAGTGGTGATCGTTCTGGAGGAAACGGAAAGTTGGTCTTGTCTCTGGTCTAGAAATCAAACTTTCCACCTCGTCAGCATGAACATGTGTTTTAATATGATCTGTTCTTCATGGGCAGCCAATCAGTGCCTCGATGTACGAGACAGCTGTTCAGCCTCACAGTGAATCCTGTCTATAGGTGGTTCTGGTGTGTTCTGGAGCTAAAACGGTCCTTCCATGGTCTAGAACTGGTTCTGACCAACCACCATCAGACATGCTGGGTCTGGAACGTTTACCCAGAATGCACTTTGTAAAGTTAATTTGCTCCATGTGACCTAAAACAACCTGGAAGTAAGTCTGACTAACGGAGATAGTCTGGATTATTCAGTGAGCACACCTGGAGCACACCTGGTTCTGGTCAGTTAAGGACTGAACTGACTTTTGGTGCCTGAAACAAACAGCGTTTGGCTTCCTGAGCTGGTCTCAGCACCACGGACAGCTCACACGGCGCTGCAGGGAAACACGCTGATGGAAACACACAGCATCAGGACTTCAGTTCCTACCGATGACCTGGAAAGTCTCACAGGCAAAGATCATGAAGCCAGGAGCAACGGAGGAGCTCTGGCATCTGGATGTAACATCAGGAAAGGATTGAACGTTCACCCAGAATGCACTTTTTCTCTGGTGAACCATCGGAAACCAGAAACACATCCAGGGTACCGATGACTGTTTGAGACATCCCATAATACTGATGCTGCCAGAAACCAGGTCCAGTGTTCAGACTGTGGATGTAGAACTGATCTGGTGTCAGTTTCTACTAGAATTTAAATGTTCTTTCTTTCTTTCTTTCTTTCTTTCATCAATAAATTGGTCAAATTACCTGAAAATTGTCTAAAATTACACACAGATTGATCCAGAATCCTCAAAATTTGTCCAAAACGACTCACAAGTTGTTCAAAAAGACACGAAAATTGTCCAAAATTCGTCGAGAACTGCTGAAAATCTTTCAGATGACATAAATCTGACATCAGAAATTAAATGAAACTCGCCTCTAATTTATCAAATATATAAATATATGACCCAGAAATACTCAGAAATAGTTGCAATGACTCAAAAACAGTCTGAAATGTCTTAAGACTGAGACACCTGGATGGATGTAGAACTGATCTGGTGTCAGGTTCTACCAGAACCCAGATGTGTTCTTCCTCCTAAATGTCATGTGTCTATCTGCTGTACTGATGAAGTTCTGAGGCTCAGAAATGATGGAAAAAGTCCATTAAAGTGATCAATCTGGACCCTCCTCTGTGGACTTGAAGGACCTGGACCTCTGGAACATTCACAGTCTGAAGGTAGAACTCTGGTCAGTAGATGAAGGTGCTGCAGATACAGAACCAGGAGGTGTGTCGGGTGTTCCCGTTGTGTAGCGTCGAGTGGTTTTACAGTGTAGAGTTGAGGTACAGGTGTGCTCGAGCTGCAGCTCTCACACAGAAAACACGAAGCAGAACAATTTACCAACGGTGACGATGGAGCTACGTGTCGCTGAGTCACTAACTCAACCGAAACGTTTGACGAAGCACCTGAAGGACGATTAAAAAGGACGGAAATGCAAACATAAATAAAGGCCTGAATCCTCAACACACACTCTGCTTCTGGTATCATCCGTTCACACACAGTTTGGTAAACAATTCCAAAATGAAACCGTAATTACGCCGACTAGAAAGACAATTAGCGGCGCTGTGCAGGGTCGGCGAGCGGCGGCGCTCCGGCACGGCGCTGCACGTCACGCCGAGGACAGAGATGCTAATGCCACAGATGTGGGTGAGCGCTCCGGCTGACACTGTAAATTGAACCCATTATTGCAGCTGCGATACAGATCTGCATTTCAACGAGGCTGTAATTGGTTCGGGGACACGGCGGGGAGGGAAGGAAACGCTGACGGAGCACAGGCGGAGATATTTTTAGAGGCTGAACGCGGAGAATTTTAAAAGCCAACAGTCGGTGAGCCCTTTTTGTTTTTTTCTTTCCGGGGATGTAAACAGGCCCGGTTCTGCAGCAGCCGCCGGAAACAGAAGAAAAAAAGAGCGACTGCCAGAACACGGCGGCGGAGTGTCAGGTGCAGCGTCACGGTTTGTTATCCGACATGTGGAGGATCGAATCAAGAAACAAGAGTCCGTCGTGTAGAACCTCCAGACGCAGGCAGCAGAGTCTCCCCTCGTTAAAATAAATCTGGTCCACGCAGAACATCAGCGCTACAGGGACGCTGCCATCGACGCTCTGATTTGTAGCTTTGATTCGGATAAAACGTCGGCGCTGCTGCAGTTTATTCAGATTTCACTCTGACTTGGAGGTCTGGACGAGGACTCGGGGAGTCTTGGAAGATTCTGCCGACTGCTCCTGATCCGTAGAACCCGAGGTTCTTAGTCTGCAGCCAAAACACCAAAAACGTCCGATCCAGCTCACTGGGGTGTTTATAATGAATCAAATGTATTCAGAATTGGATCCCAGACGAGACTGCAATCCAGAATCTTCTATTATTTCAACGTTTGGTCTCCCGTAAAGCAGTGACACATGTCTTCTGGGTCCACCGGTTCCAACACAAAGGGTCTAAATAGTACTGGTTGCTATGGTAACTAGCAATATGGCCACGAGTATGCCGGCAAAAAGCAGCAACAACGGCAAAACTGGCACAAATCTGAAGAGCGAGCGCCCCGGTTCTGCTCCCAGGTGTATTTTAACGAACACGATGCGCCGGGTACACCGGGTTCGATGAGTAATGAGTTCCTGTCGCCATGGTAACAGGATGTTCTGAGGACAGGTGACAGGTGGAAGCCGTCAGATACGGAAATCACCACAAAACGACTCGGACACCTGAAGCAGAGGCTGATGAGGAGAACTCGGCTGCAGGGAGACGTTTAGAAACAGCTTCCATCGTCCCATCGATAGTTAATCACAGTGGGTTTACCACGAGGTTCATGAGACACTAAAGACCGATCATCACATCCTGACCGACTGAATCCTCGTCAGCCCAGTCCTCTAACTGGTCCTGCCCTCTCAGGACCCAACACCAGACCTGAGTCTCTGTTTCTGCTCCAGAACACATCGGTTCTAACGTGTCAAGAGTCCAGCAGCTTTCTGACTAACGATGAAGTTTGGAAGACTTTTGAAAGCGGCGTTCTACGTTTAGGGTTTGTTGCGGCGTGAACGGTGGCGTCAGAGTGAGGTCACCTTCATCCTGGCAGCGCTGAACACACTCACGTGTGCGTAGAACGGACGGAACCAGAGGCCTCGAAATCCTCTTCGGCGCTCACACGTGTAGCATGTAAACATGAAACCGGAGACGCTGCCGGTGGAGCCGGACTGTCAGCAACAGAACCAATAAGAACTCTCCTGAGCAGACAAACTGTCACGCAAATAAGACGAAGGATCAAAAAAACCAACCCGAGTACCGACTGTAGTGAAAACAGGACGAACAAGACCGCCTGTCCCTCTGAAGACACGACGCACAGAAATACTTCATGTTGGGTTCCGTCGACAGACTCGACCCAGATCTAAACCAGCAGCAACACTTCCACCTAGAACCAGCACCTAGAACCAACACCTAGAACCAGCACCTAGAACCAACACATAGAACCAACATCTAGAACCAACACATAGAACCAACATCTAGAACCAACATCTAGAACCAACACCTAGAACCAACATCTAGAACCAACATCTAGAACCAACAGCTAGAACCAACAGCTAGAACCAACATCTAGAACCAACACATAGAACCAACATCTAGAACCAACATCTAGAACCAACACCTAGAACCAACACATAGAACCAACATCTAGAACCAACACATAGAACCAACACCTAGAACCAACACATAGAACCAACATCTAG